GGGAATTTCGAAATCCTCGGGCCTGGTTACCGAGAAGGCGGTCTGGATTGGTACCGACTCGTCAGATGGTCGGGCATCTTCTTCGGGCTCCTTAGCTTCATGGGTGTCACGACGGGGAGCGTCATTTCGCCTGTATTGTGCGAGCCTCCCTCCCTTGATGAGGGTTTCAATGGCGTCCTTGAGGTGGACGCAGTCCTCTGTAAAATGACCATGACTCATATGGTATTGACAGTACTTATTTTTGTCTGCCCCTGGCTTGGCAGGAGCAGGCCGGGGACGCTTGACGCCACCGTCTTTGAAATTTGTGCTAGCACACTCCGCCAAAATACGCTCGCGGGAAGCCGTGAGCGGAGTGTACTCGGTGAAACGGCCCGAGGGGCCCCTTTGTTCCCGGACCTCCCGGGGTCGATCTTCCTTCCTTTTCTCCCCGGTTCGTCGGGGAGGAGGGTCTTGTCGTGAGCTGCTGCTATGATTGGGAGCGCGAGCCCTGGAGTCTCGTGCCCTGTTGGCAGCTTCTCTCTCCTCGTAATCCATGTATGCTCGGGCTTTGTCGAGGAGAGCGTCAAAAGTTGCAGGTGGCTCAATACCCACAGCTTTTCTGAATTCTGTGCCGGGAAGGAGGCCCCTCTCCAGCAAATATCTTTTCATATGGTCCGCGCAGGGGACCTGTATTGCTTCCCGGTTGAAGCGGTTGATGAATTCCCTCAAGGTTTCATCCTGTCTTTGGATGATGGCCTCGAGGGCTGCCTCGGTCTTCGGGTGGCGCCGAGAAGCTGTGAAGGAACTGATGAACTGGTTCTTCAGGTTCCGCCACGATGTAATTGATCCCGGGGCAAGCCCTTTATACCAGTCCATGGCCGCCTTCCTGAGAGTTGTGGGGAAAAGGCGGCATTTGATGGGGCCCCCGACATTATGGTAGTGGAGCATGGCTTCGAACCCGTCAATGTGGTTGACCGGGTCCGCTACTCCATCATACTCCTTCAGATGCGGGGGTTTCTCCATCCCCGGGGGAATAGGTGCATCCATGATGGCCTGCGACAGGGGACCGCGGGGGTCGTCCTCGTCGCTCCTCTCCAGAGAAAGAGAAGGGGTCCTGTAGTTATGTCTGGCACGATGGTCGTGCTGAGATTCCCTCGAGCGTGATGCTCGGTGGTTGAAGGTCACCCGCCCGTCTCCGGCGTGCCTCTTGTCGTGCCTTGAGGGGTCGCGACTGGGTTCTTCGGTAGGGATGACGGGCTGTCTCTCATATTGGGGCCGCCTCTGCTTTGGCCGGGGAGAGGGGCTCCTGGATTTCTCCCTATAGTGTCTCCGCGGGGGAGAAGGGTGTCGAACTTCTTCGATCCGAGGAGGTGGAGAAGATGGCCTCTGGTGCCTCCTCGGGGGTCGTCGATCATTTTCTAGTGCCCTTAGTCTTTCTCCTTGGGAGAATATGAGATAATTTGTCTGGTTGATGGCTGCGAACAGTGCCTGAGTCGTGGCATCTGCCCCGGCAGGAACTGGGACTTCAAAGAACCGGGCAGCTCTGTGATGGGTGAGAGCTACCGGGTCATCCTCGAGTGCTGGAGGGGTCGTCGAGGATGATGCAGTATTCCCGTCCCTGCGGGAGGAAGGTCCAGGGGCGGTTGTCACAGGGATGGCATTGTGGCCGGGATCACCGGGATTGTCGAGGTGTCCATTCTTGTCCGTGGGGCCGTTATTGGTGTCGGCGACACGGACGGGCTGCTCGTCGTGAGCTGGGTCAGCCATGACAGGTAGTTGAATTGAGCTTTGGTCCTTAGAATTGTTCGTTAGACGGGGAAGCTGGTTCCCACAGACGGCGCCACTGATCTGACCTGATCAGAAATGGACCGTCACGGCTGGCTCCGAGCAGAAAGCTTTTTTGAACGAGGTGGGGGGGGGGGGTTCCTGCAAGACACTCTGATGCTGAAGTAAGTAGGAGTACGAGCAGATAATAGCAAGTTGAGGTTAGAATGATGAATACCTGACCCTCTGGAAACAGAGGGTATTTATAGCCCCCAGCGCTGGGCCAAGGTTCCTTCATTGGGCCAGGCAGATTTGGCCCAATGGAGGAACTGCCAGGTTCTACGTGGGTAGTGGGGACCCGCACGTGGTCCCCTTCCTGGATGTTCTGCGTGAAGTGCGGGCGGACGAAGACGCGGTCTTTCCGGAGTATCGTTGGGGGAACGGTGGACTGAGTCTGCCCTAGTTGGGATGCTCGAGACAACGTCGAGCTGGACAGCAGGGTGTCGAGCCGGACGTCAGGACGTGGAGCTGGACGGCAGGGCGTCGAGCTGGACGTCAGGAGGTGGAGCTGGACATCATCACGTGGATTTAGACAGCGGGATGTCGAGCTGGACATAAGGATGTCGGGCACGAATGTGACCCCTTTGCTCGGCGTGGTCCTCAGTAAGTCCCTTTGGACTGGGCCTTAGTAATGCTCTTGGGCCTGTCGGGCCCAGTCCAGAACAGTAAGGGTGATCTCTATAGAGATTAGGATGGGGTGAACCAAATGCTCCAAAACTAACATACCAAAATACAAACCATTTTTGGTTGAAGCATAACGGTGTAAGAACATCGATTCAAATACAATATTCTCTATTCACAATTGGTTAAGTGTGTATCTCGGTCGGGATTGAATTCCATCTTTCAAGAAGAAAACCGAGCAGAACACACGGGTACTGATAAGTGAAAATATGGATGCATAATTAGGAAGATTTACGGTCTTCCATGTGTTTGTCTCCTTGTAAAAAAATAAAGATTGATTCCATGATACGTATGGATGAAGTGTACAATCACTGGAAAAGACTATGGTTTGATGGTGATGGTGTGGTTAAGGATGGTAAAGCAAGTATAACTATCTAGACCAAGTGGGAAATAATCCAAGATAGATTTACGAAGGCAGATGACACCTTGAAATTGCACATCAAAGAGCAGTTGAGGAAGATTGCATATGCGGAAACCACATATTTAAAACCTCATTTGCAACAGGTTAAAACCAAAGGTGCCCCTAAAAAGGTAAAACTGAATCAAGATGACAATTCAACAAAGTGGTCTCCATCATACTTTGAACATGTTGATTCATATTTCTCAGATTCTCCAACTCAAAAATCTCAGAAAAAGTGTTCACGAGGGTGTTCACATTAGCCCACCACCTCTTCCACCACTGATGCCCAAGATTGAACTCATTGATGAAATGCCGCTTTTTTTGCACAAACACATTGAGCGGATCGTGAATGTTAAGGAAGATGGTAATTATGGTTTTTGGGTCATATCTGGATTGCTCGATAAAGGAGAGACAAACCATAATTTTGTCCGTATAGCACTTTTGAAAGAGTTGACGAGGCATAATAAATTTTACATGAAGTTATACAAGAAAAAAATTGATTCAATTCAAGATGCACTTATTTCTTGTGTTAGCGGTAACACACAGTTTTCAACATAGACGCGCTTTCCTGATATGGGGCACCTTATAGAAATTGCATATGACAGAGTGTGTATCGATATGATAAGATATGGATTCTCGGAGACATTTTTTCTATTATGGAAAGGTCCACCTAAAGACCCTTTCGAGTGCATCATATGCATAATGTGGATTTTAAAATCGCTACATTTTGTTCATGTGTATTTGAAACTTGGGTGTCTAATATCAACTACATCGATGGAGTGGACGACACATTCAACAAATGAGGCGGAAACTTGGTCGGAACAATTTTTGGAGAGGGTGATAGAGTTCACCAAATTGATAGAGCTTGAAAGAGAATCAAACCAGGAAGCATCAAAGGCAGAACTAACTGTATATTTATGCGGTACTTAGATCTTTTGATACATTTTAAATTGTAATCGATACACTTTTTGTATGTATTATCGTCAATGATGTAATCTTGATACCATTTAATACATATTAATTTTATGGTTTGCTTTTGGTTTATATTGCATGTGCTTGTTTATAAAGTTTCTGATTTTTCTACTTCATGTAAATTTTCAGATATATATTTGAGTTAACCTCATTCAAGTTTTCAGATATATATCTCTGAAGTTACCCTTTTTGTAATAAAATGTATGGTGTATTCTGAGATGTATTTCTGAAATGTTATTTGATACATGATGAGGTTTTTAAGGTCCAAAGTGACCTAATACTTGTATAAATAGGGTATATCTCAACTCTTATTTGCTACACAACACACTAAAACCAGAGAATAAATTCATATTCCCACCTTGTATTTGTGTATTTCAATGACGAGAAGCCTTCACTTTCGTTTAGAGTCACCGATAAAACATCCCTCGTAGATCTGATATCCAAATTAAATACTCATGTGCTTTTTAGAAAATCACATAGTGGTCAATCTCGGGTATCGACCCCCCTCGTTTGACAACAAATTAAAGGGAAGGTAGGCCCATTTCACCAACTTTAAATTGAAGATGGGTGAATATTTAAAGGTTATATGGAATATTTTTCTCTGTTATGAATCAAAGGCTTCAATTGAAGTGGATGTGAAGATTCAAAGATCCGTCGAGGATATAATAATTATGTTACGTCCTGATGAAAATAATATGTAATGTTAAATTTATTTTAATGACTATCTATGTAATGAATGTTTTTATTTAATACAATGTTGATGTTGATGTTGGTTTGTTTTTTATTTTGGTTCTCTCATATTTTTGTTTTTTTAGTTTACTGGAACCAGATTATGTTCGGAGATATATTTTCGAACACACCATAAAAAAGACTCCACATATGCATCTCTAAATTTAATTTATTGAAAAATTAAATTTGACGCGTTCGGAGATATATTTCTAAAAATAATGGAGCATTTTTGACATTTTGTCGATGCCCTAAGAGAAGGTATAAAAGTGTAAAGAGAAATTACTTATATTTATGATGAGACCCTTGCTGATTTGGGCCTGACTCAGCCCAAAAGAAGAAAAAGCGTATAGTGAATTCCTTCCCGCGCGAGCGTAAATTGAACTGATTCAGAGCCAACAAACCAACACAAGCAAAAATGGAATTGGAGCCATGGGGAGCTCTTGACATCGACGATTCCGATCTCTCCAACTTCCTCCGCCCTTGCAACAACCGCACTTCCCAAACCCTAACCACCGATCCTCCTCTCATCCCCGGTCCCGCCGGCGCAGTTCAAGCCGCCGTAATTCAACGCAGAACCCTAGGAGCATCCAACCCCATTCCCACTCAAGAATTCGTAAGGCGCGTCGTTCAAAACGGGCACAACACCGATCGCGATTTCACCTCCAATCCATGGCTTTCCGCATTTCAATTTCTTCAATCTTCACAAGGTTAGTTAATTTCCTTCTCCAGCTAAATCGTGTTCAATTCAACTGTTACTGATTTTTGTTTGCGTCTTTTTCTTATAGTGGATGTATCGTCGTTTACTGATTTGAAATCGATCAAGATGCATCGTAACGATGAAGGAAGAGTTTCTCGGGTAGTTGCTGTTATCAAATCATGTAATCCAAACGGTTTTGGAGACATGACGGTTACTCTAAAGGTACTTTTCTATTCATTTCAGTTCAATTCAATTCAATTTAATTAACATTGCTGCATTGGTTTTTGGTGTTAAGAGTTTGAATTTCAGGATCCTTCTGGCACTGTTGGTGCTAGTATTCATCGCAAAGTCTTCACTGAAGGAGAATTTAGAAAGGATATAACTGTTGGTTCTGTTCTACTTCTCCAAAATGTACTTAATCTTATTTGGTTGCTTTTGTTCATCGAGTTTCTTTTTCAATTTCATTATGATGAATAGAACAAATATATGGTGGCGAATGCAGGTGGCTGTGTTTTCTCCTAATGCTTTTACTTGTTATCTAAATATAACATTGAGCAACATAGTCAAGGTATGGTGTTTTCTCCTAATGGTTTCACTTTTTTCAGCATTTTTGGAAACAAAACTTAAATGAGTTGAACTGAATATTGTATGTAAGACTGTATCATTCGCCTTTCTAATTAGGAACTTGGAATTGGATTAAAAAAATGGTGGTAGTAAAATTTAGGATCAATTGGATTGGATCTAAACCCAAGCTTTCTTTTCCTTAAGGGGAAATTAGTCTTTTTAGTCCCTGAATATGTGAGACACTATCACTATAGTCTATAAACATATTGAAATTGCAAAGACATCCTTATTGTCTCTTTTGTTAGTGAATTTATGGATTAAATTGACCAATTAAAAATACATTTCCAGGCTAAATTGACTACCTAAAAATATATTTGAAGACCGAAACGACTAATAAAAGAGACACTTTTTAATGTGTTTGCAAATTTGATACATTTAGGAACCAATGTGATAGTGAATTACACTTTCGGGGATCGAAATGGGGGTTTGCTTTACCCTTTTCTTAAGGGTCTGGTTCGGGAGGGGGATTATGGAGGGAGAGGAAGGTTTGTTTTTCTTTTCTAAATTCTGTAAGTTATGAAAAATTTTAAAAAATGAATTAAGCGTAATTAAACTATTTCATGATATGATAATATATCATGTATTCTTTCAGTTTTTTTTTTAATTTATCAAATGTATTTTAAAATACAGGTCTACCTTCCAAACACACCCTAACTTGTTGATGAATGAGATCCTTTGGCAAGTATTTGTTTCTCTGCTTATAGCTTTTTCATGTTATACAGGTATTTTCCAAGGACAGTGGATCTCCATCAGAGCATATATCCATGAAACAAACTGCTCCCACTAGCACTGCAGGTAGATTTTTAAAATGTACTTATAGCAGCAATATGGCTTATGTCTCTTTTGTTAGATCTCTTGCCTTCACCAGAGGAATGGACTCTGTACCTTTGGTTGACTATACTGAATTCATATGCTCATTATTTGGTTTTATTTGCAAACAGAAACACGTGAAAAATCGTGGATGCCGTTGAGCAGCGCGTTCTCTCTGTCACAAGTAAGAACTGATGGAATCTTGAATAATATCGGACTAGACTCAAGGTTTAGAGAAGTAGCAGATAATGGTAGCCAGAGGGATGAAATTTTGCCTTTAAGTAGCTGTCATTTTGACAATGAAGGTGGTAAGAGCCAAAGAACTGTTTCGATACAGGATGGTGCTGGACCTGTTGAAGCAACTTGCAGAGACCAGCTTGAAAGTGAGATGGAAGATCAAGAAAACCATCCTACATTAGGCAAAGGAGACAATCTGGTGGGGATTACTCAAGCCAATAGTTCTTCATCCATCCCGACACATATACCAGTTGGTCAAGAAACTGATGCGGAAAATCACTTGGAAAGACAGGAGATCATGAATCCAAAAAGCTCAATTCCACAATGGACAGATGAACAACTGGATGAGCTGTTGGCATTTGACTGAGATGCTAATCTCTATTTGTCATAGCAAAGTATTAGATGATGCCGATATAATTACTTTACATATATTTTGATTGTAACTTTTAGCAGTTTAAAGGTGCACATGTATTGTAAATACTTCCACATGATACTTCCAGGTTTTTTTTCTTTCTTTTGAGGTTAGTTTGGAGTATAGAAGCAGATTTGGAAACTTTTGGTATTGTAATTAGACAATTCAATATTATCTTGTTTCATGTTCTCAATATTATCTTATTTTCCGCATCCTCCCATGAATATCTACAAATCTATTTCTTTATCTTTTTCTGTGGCTTAATATTTCCATAAGAATATTATAATAAAGAAATTTTATAAATTGAAGAATGAAAACCGGTGCAGCCAAATAATACAGCTCAAACATTATGTGTTAGTTTTATATACAATTTTGTCTTGGTATACAATGATACTAAAAATGCTACTTTCATACGAAGGATTCCCATTTCAATACAGGTCTCACTACAGCAGTGGTCAAGGTTCCTCTCATTTGAGGACAATTGAGTTCATCATGAAGCAAGCTTTTTCTGCTTTTGGCTCAGTGATTTGTTAGTAACTCTTGCTTAACCTTATATACATTCACTTATATACTTAGATACTTATAATGATTTGTCTGCTACAATTATATTAGGAAATTCTACATTGGGTCTTTGTTTAGCATATAACTTGTATCCTATTGTGCAGAGAATTTACAAAAATGATAGGATTATGGAAGGCCTTAAAATTATTGAAGAGATGTTAAGTTCAGACTCGATTCAAAAACCTGAATTTGCAAAAGAAATCGAAGGACAACGGGGTCTTCGAGGTGAAGATTAATGATAGAAATTGTTATCACTTTTGTGTGTTCTCTGATAACGTTATTGCAACTTCAGACGTAGTAAATTATGTTGCGATGAAGGTGTGCTTTGCCATAAACAATTTCTGCGGGGTTATTGTAACGCTCCAGACTGCCTTCGGGATTATCGATTGACTCCACAAACAATCACGAGTCTTTTTAGCTTGATTTGTCCCCACTCACACGCTTCCCAGAAAATTTTCCAAAAGATCACTCATCCCAAAATTACTCCAAGTCAGCAAGTTTAACTATGAAGTTCTTATGAAATGGGCTACCGAAAAGAAGATGCATCTTGTTGGTATAGGTAGTACAAATTAATCCTTATAAGCCTTTCTTCAACCATGCAATCCCTTCCCTGCACAGCCTCATGACCCCTCTCATTTCGATGTGAATTCAGTTTTTCCTAGAAGCTACTAGGAGTGTCTCATTGTCATGCCTCGTGCACCGACAACCACTCCCTCGCCCTCGGGTGTTACATATAATCATTCTTTGGCCTCTTCGGTCGCAGATGTTACATGTCCACCAGTTTTCGCTATGTTCATCCCCGAACCACAACGTACTGGGAGAGGTCTGCTCTGAGCCATTTTCATTCTTTCATGGATCAATTTGACTTTCTCAGTTGTCTATTGTACCAAATCGGGTCCCATAATTGAGCTTTCTCCATCCTTGTACCAACATAAAGGCGTCTGACATTTGCATCCAACTTCTCCGATCATCTAAGGCACAAGCTCTCAACATGTCTTCCAAGGTCTGAATAGTCTTCTCGGTCTGTCCATCTGTTTGAGGATGGTAGGCAGAACTCAATCTTAACTTCGTGCTCGATGGTAGGAAGAACTCAATCTTAACTTTGTGCCCAAAGCTTCCTGCAACGCTTCCCAAAAGTGAGAAGTAAACTTCAGATCTCTAACTTAAACAATACTAGACGGTACTCCATGTAGTCTGACGATCTCCCCAACATAAATCTTTGCATACTTGACCACGATATAATTGGTCCTTATTGGTATAAAGTGAGCTGACTTTGTTAACCTGTCCACCACCACCCATATGGAATTAAACTTTTGGAAGGCTTTTGGCAACGCCACTACAAAATCCATAGAAATGATGTCCCACTTCCACTGCGGAACATCCAGAGACTGCAATAATTCAGCTGGCTTCTGATGCTCTACCTTAGCTTTATGACAAGTTAAGCATGAAGCCACCTACTCAGCCACTTGTTTCTTCATACATGGCCACCAAAATATCTGCTTTAAATCTTGATACATCTTCGTCATACCGGAGTGAATATTTAGCTTGCTTCTATAAGCTTCTTCTATGATGGACCTTAGTAACTCTACATCATATGGAACACAAATTCTTCCATGGCATCGCAAGATATCATCTAAGCCCAACTTAAATTCAGGTGTCTTTCCTGCTTCAACCAGTTTCTTCTTTTCTTGCACTACTTCATCAGTATGCTTAAGGGCCTTGATATTGCTCATCAACTCATTTTGTACTGTAATTGTACCGCAATGTAAACCATCGGTTAAGGAATCCTCCTTCAAGTTCTAATCACGAAATTTCTCTAATAGTTCTAGTCCTTTCACTGCCACAGCCGAGAGATGAACTCATTTCCTGCTCAAAGCATCTGCCACTACATTCACCTTCCCTGGGTGATACTGTAGGGTGAAGTCATGGTCCTTAACAAATTCCATCCACCTTCTATGTTGTATATTTAACTATTTCTGATCAAACAAGTACTTTAGACTCTTATGATCACTAAATACCTCAACAGTACAACCATATAAGTAGTGCCTCCATATCTTTAATGCAAATACAATAGCAGCAAGCTCCACATAATGAGTGGGGTAATTTTTCTCATGCACCTTCAGCTGCCTTGAAGCATGGGCCACAACTTGCTTATACTGCATAAGAACACAACCCAACCCTTGATACGATGCGTCACAATAAACTTTATATGGGTCAACAACAATACCATTCTTTGAAATCACATGTCCTAGGAAATTACTTCATCTAGCCATAATTCACACTTTCCTAAGTTAGCATACAATTGTTTCTCCTTCAATACTTGTAATACCTAACGTAAATGTTCCCCGTGCTCCACATTATTCTTGGAATACATGAGGATGTCATCAATGAATACTACCACAAATTTGTTCAAGAAAGGATGAAAGACACGATTCATATAGTCCATGAAGATGCCTGGTGCATTGGTCACTCCAAAAGGCATTACTAGATACTCATAATGCCCATAGTGAGTTCTAAATATTGTCTTAGGAATATCTTCGTCCTTCACTCGTATTTGATGGTACCCTGACTTCAGATCAATCTTCGAAAACACTAGTGAACCTCCGAGTTGGTCCATGAGGTCGTCAATACGCGATAATGGATACCTATTCTTTATTGTGACTTTATTGAGTTGTCGATAATCAATGCAAAGTCTAGATTTTCCATCTTTCTTCTTCACAAGGAAGGTTGGAGCTCCCCAAGGTGAAATACTTGTTCGAATAAATCCTTTGGATTAGAGGTCCTCTAGTTGCTTCTTTATCTCATCTAATTCCAATGGAGACATTCGGGAGGGAGAAATAGAGATCAGTCATGTTCCCAGAGTAATATCAATAGAGAATTCAACATCGCGAACTGGTGGTAAGCCTGGTACATCTGCTGGAAACACCTTTGAGAAATCCCTTACTAATGGAATAACACTAACATCAACTTATGTGCTCATGCTGATAGAATTTAAGAATACATATTTATGAATACCTCCATGCGAGGAAAACTTCAATCGATTGGCTTCGAGGAATCGGGTGATGCTTGAGTGTGGGAATATTACTGACTTGCGAGCACAATCTAAGAGAATATAATGATTGGACATCCAGTCCATTTCGAGAATAACTCCAAGATGCTTAAGGGGTATACAAATTAGATCGACCTTGAACTTCATGTTTAAGACAGTCAACGGACACTGTAAGCATGCTTCACTAAGAGTTATGGGTTCGGAGGACGGTATCGTGACCACCAAGTTAAAAGGTAAATGTGTCACAGAAAGTTGTAATAAATTCACACACTCCCAAGAGATAAAAGAATGAGTAGCTCCAGAATCAAATAATATTAGAAAGAATTTGCCAGAAATTTCAAACTCACCCTTGGTCAGCTCTGAATAGTCTTTCTCTTCTTCTCCGACAATGTGGTACACACGTCCCTGAGTTGTCGGGCGTCCAACCTGGTTGTTTTTATTGCTCCTAGAATTATTCTTGCTTCTCTCAGGGCAATTATTGGCAAGATGGTCTGGCTTCTTATTGATAGAAATAGGTAAAGAGAGAGTATGAAAAGAAACTCTCATTGTATTATCTAATTAAACAGTAATACAAGAGGCTACTTTATATAGCCATGTGATACAAAGCAGAAAAGGTGTGAGGCCATAACAAGCTAACAGCACACCACTAACAAACCTGACAGCTCAGCAAAACAGAATAGAAAGATAAAATGAAGGGCATATTAGTAAACTACTCTATTAGTCCCCCTTAGAAGCTGATGGCAGACTTGTCAAAGCAGCCTTATCATACACACGCAACTTGGAACGAAGAGGAACAAACTTGGCAGCAGAGAGGGGCTTAGTGAGAATGTCAGCCCATTGATCTTGAGCTGGTACATGAACAACAGTCAGACTTTTGCTGAGTACTTTCTCTCGCAGAAAGAAAATATCAAGCTCCATATGCTTAGTCCTGTTGTGAAGAATAGGATTGTGAGCCAAAGTAACAGTGCTCAAGTTATCACACAAGATCTTAGGAACTTGAGAGGAATAATGGAGTTCCTTGAGCAAGGACTGAATCCAAATGAGTTCAGCAGCTAGCTGAGCCATACTGCGATATTCCGCTTCAGCACTGGACCTTGCAACAAGCTGTTGCTTCTTGGACCACCAGGAAACAACATTAGGCCCAAGATATATGCAGGCCCCTGAAGTAGATCTCCGGTCATCAGGGTCTGATGCCCAGTCTGCATCACAGAACCCTAGCAACTGCATTGGTTGCTGAATAGGAGCAGGCTGAAGGAGAAGACCATGGTGCAGAGTACCACTTAGGTACCTTAAGATTCTTTTAACAGCCTTCCAATGATCCTCTAAAGGATTGGACAAAAACTGA